TGACGTAATACTTTAGAAGCCACTCGCCTCGTTTTAATCCCACAGTTAGTGAGAGCAAGGTTCGAGCCATGGCCGAGTCATACTTAAAGATGTTAAAGATAGTACTTGTTGTTACTCTACCTAGCTCTCAACATTAAAGTATGAGCAAGGAGTGTGATAGATAACATTGTGTTCACCAAAGTGTTTTCGGTTATATTGTCATTTCATTATGATAGATGACATTGTTTAACCAAACTTTTCTCGGTTATATTGTCATTTCATTATGATAGATAACATTGTTTTCCCAAACTGTTCTCGGTTATATTGTCATTTCATTATGATAGATAACATTGTTTTACCAAACTGTTCTCGGTTATATTGTCATTTCATTATGATAGATAACATTGTTTTACCAAACTGTTCTCGGTTATATTGTCATTTCATTATGATAGATAACATTGTTTTACCAAACTGTGCTCGGTTATATTGTCATTATGTCATAGCAGATAATATTGTTTTCAATGCATATGGTTTATCTCCTAACCTAAGAACTGATTCCAGTCATTCTAAAGTGAAGAGTGTGTGTCTGTTCATGATAGTATGTTGCTTGTTTCAGTGCCTGCTGAATAATGTATCCATGGCAACCAATCCTTACTGTCCGTCCCGCCAATCACCACGGCAGGATGAGTCGTATTACATTCTGCCTGGAATGGGTGAGTACCCTTGACTCAAGTAATAATCTACTCAAATATGCACTTCTTGGCCAACCGTAACATAAGATTGGTTGGTTGGTTGGTTGGTTGTTTTATGCCGCACTCAGCAATATTCCAGCTATATGACGGCGGTCCGTAAATAATCGAGTGTGGACCAGATAATCCAGTGATTGATATCGATGACATTCAATTCAATTCTTTATTGTATGAAAGGCCACAGGCCCATATACAACGGAGTTACATAACATATTTTATAAAATACAAAGTCAAGGTAACAATTCACTTCGTAACAAAAAAGCATTATGTATGTACAAAGCCAGTTGATGTTGTGTTATAAGATCCTTGCAAGACAGTAATGAAGACAATCTTTTAGCATTAAAATGAGATAGAGACCACTGCGGTAAGTACTTGTCTGTTAGATTTTCGTATATAGGGCAAATAAACATGAAATGGTATTTATCTTCGACAACAATGTCACAAAATGGGCATAATCGTATCGATTTCTCAATAGATGAAAATCTCCCTGTGTTAATTTTGAGATCATTCAGGCCAAGTCTAAAACGAATAAGGGTGTTACGAGAATTCCTGTACCGTAAATTTGATAAATAGGATTCTGGTTCAAGCAATGACTTGAATTGGCGATAAGTATCATATCTTGAACTTTCATATGCTTCAACCAAGTCAGCGAGCCTGACCACACGATCCCGTTAGTCGCCTCTTACGACAAGCATACGAGGGTTGATTGATAAGGACATGATCACTGCACGTTCCCCAAGTTTCTCATTGTCATGTACAAAGATGTTTATTTTACGTAAGTGTCACAGCTGTACAATTTAAATGACACAAGTGTTTAGTGGCTATAATTCTATGACATCGTGTCATGTCCATAACAAAACTCACTATTACGCAATTATCTGAGGCTCAGAACTTATCAATCAACCCTCGTTCGTACACAAAAGACGACAAAATGTCCCAAATATTGTCTTTTCACGTCATTGTAGACTAACTATCATGCTCAGGGATTTTTAAACGTGTAATGATATATCAGATATATCTGGCCTGTATCTTCTTTCCTTTTGTTCCAATGATTGCTGAAGTGAACAGCATAATTCGCGTATTTCTCCCACGTGAGGATCCAGGGTAGAATAGGTCTTCAGCAACTCATTCTTGTCGTAAGAGGCGAATAACAGAATCAGGATCGCTGACTTGGTTGATGCATGGTATCGTATCCCAATTGCGTAGATCGATGCTCATGATGTCGACCACTGGATTGTCTAGTCCAGACTCGATTATTTACAGACCCCTTCACATGAATCGAATATTGCTGAGTAGTGCATCGTTAAACAACAAACAAACAAATCTCATACATCCCTGTAAAAAGCTTCATATTAGAGTGACGCCACCATCTAAATCCATATAATACAGTGGATGTTCGAGTTGGCTTTAAACCTATCATTCCTTTCCTGTACAGAACACATAAGCCGTGGCCCAGGGCAAGTGTCCTATTTCCGAGGAAACCGCCAATGTCCACGATCTCTGTCCAGACGCGGCTCCATGTGTCCAGTCCACTACGTCATCAACTACAACGCTGACCGCACGCCGACGCTGATCGTGGAAGCTAGGTGCACGTGCTCCAACTGCCGTAGCGGGAACGGCGTCACCCGGCATCGCTGCATGCCCGTGTACTACTACCGCGAGGTCGAGGAGATGGACCACATCGGCAGCTGCATCAACAAGGTCATCAGAAGGTTCACTGTTGGGTGTCAGTGCGCAGCTGCGGAAGATCGACCCACACACAGTGTGGTGTCGTCGCCTTAACGGTCTACATTATTTCTAAAGGCCAAACCTACAGTAGTTTCCCTTTTATGTATTGAATGTCGTTTATGTCGTCCAAAAGGGTCTCCTTGTTGATTGGTTGGTTGAGTGAGTGAGTGAGTTAGGTTAGCGCCGCCTTTAGCAATATTCCAGTAATATCACTGCAGGAGAAACCGGAAATGGGCTTCACACATTGTACACATTTGGGGAACGAACCCGATCCTTCGGTGTGACGAGCGAACGCTTTAACCACTAGGCTACTCCACCGCCCCATCTCCTTGTTGAAGTGAGTGAGTGAGTGAGTGAGTATGGTTTTACGCCGCTTTTAGCAATATTCCAGCAATATCACGGCGGGGGACACCAGAAATGGGCTTCACACATTGTACCCATGTCGGGATTCGAACCCGGGTCTTCGGCGTGACGAGCGAACGCTTTAACCACTAGGCTACCCGACCGCCCCTCTCCTTGTTGAAGTATTTGTTGATGTGTGTATGTATTTATACTGACGAATGGTAGAATTCTTGTTCATAAATATTTGATCTCTAGTTTTTACATTGATGGGTATTATGTTTATGTGTTTCATATTGCTTTTTAGACTGTTTCCTTACTACGAGACAAGTATGCCCCAGGCACTCCTTCTTTATTCCCTATATTAGGGGCTGACAAAACCTCTGCTGTGAGGACACTTCAGGTCCACACTGGACGAAAACTTTACCTTTACAAAAGTTTAAAAATGTAGGCATATATGTTTGTAAATGAATGTAAATTTGGACTCAAAATTACGTAAAAGTATGAACTTTTGTACATACATATATGTAAATGAAATATAAGCAATTGTTTTTGTCTTGTAAATTTCATATTTACAACAAATGTTTAGTCTTGTAAATTTCATATTTACAACAATTGTTTAGTCTTGTAAATGCTATATCTACATTAATTGTTTAGTCTTGTAAATGTCATATTTACAATAACTGTTTTATCTCGTAAATGTCATATTTACAACAATTGTTTTAGTTTTGTATGTGTCATATTTACAACAATTGTTCCTAGTGATTTACAAGCATATCCAAGTAAGGAAATGTATACATTCTTCTAGTGATGCCTTTGATTCTGATCTTCGGTTTTGTCAACTGTATTTCTGAGAAATACCTGAAAAACACCACAAGCAATATTGTATTCTCCCATATCAATGCAATCATTATTTTTAGTGTCGTTTTGATGTTTGGATAATTTCAGCTGACTTGACAGCAATAGGATACGATTTAACCACTCAATACATTATTGTGGAAATGTGCAATTTACTCATACTCACAAACATGACATAAATACTGAATTGCTACGATGTTGAGAACAAACTTGTGTGATGTCATCAAATCGCGTGACGTCATAAGTTGATCATTTTTCATAAATTACGTGTTGATATTTCATGCAATGTGTATCTGGCCCTGGTCTGGCCTGATTTAGGAATAATCTAGTTTTGGTGTATTTTGCATCTAGTCTTTATCTAGTATTGACTAAGTCTTAAAATATGGCTGTACGCCATGCTACCGTGTATGCCACATTGGTAAACTGTTGAGGAATATGTATTTGTCCTGTCATGTATATGATCTCTACTATGTCAAACTCACACACGAATATTAGAAGTGGTGTTTGAAATATTCAATAGTTTTTGATTTGACAGAATAAATTATTTTTTTGCTATTTTAACTTCGTATTTTGAGTGACTATGTTGATTGCGTATCGTCGTACCCCACTGGGGTACTGGGGTGTCTATCATCTTTGATTTGCCTGGTCAAGATTAGATTATTTGCAGGCCGCTTTGTTTAGTTGGAATAATGCTGAATGTGGCGTTCAACATCAAACGTAACTATGAGACTCGTTTATAATATTCATCAGCTCACTAACACCTTCTGATGCATCTAGCCCATGGCTAACGTATTATACTTTTGAAATAAAGCAGCTTGTCATCCTGTTGAAATAACGCAGATTGTCATTCTTTTGAAATAAAGCAGCTTGTCATTCTTTTGAAAAAGAAATATTTATCTTACTTTTGAAATACAGCAGCGTGTCATACATCTGCAACAAGGGAATTCATCATACTCTTGCAGTAAAGGAGCTCACCATACTTTAGCAATAACGGAGCTCACCATTCTTTGCTGTAAATGAGATCATCATACTTTCGCATTGTGTCCTTGAAATAAAGGAAATCATCCTACTTTGCAGTTAAGAATATCATGCATCGTACTTTTACAATAGAGGAACTTACGCTTTTGCAACTAAGGAACGCATTGTTCTTTTTACAGTAAAGCATTTCATCATGCTTTCGCAATACAGGAACTCATTATACTTTTGAAACAGTAAAAACTGCTACTCTTACATATCAGGCCTATCTGGAAACGTACATTTTATGATATTGATAAAGGTTTGTTGTTCTCGACAAAAGTTCTGTTTGAGGAGTGTCGTCGACAAGTAGCGTTAACCAACGGACACGTGACAATTTTACTTTTTAATCAGCATAATTTACATGATAATATACACATATTAATAATCAATTTTATCAAAATGTAACAAGACAATACTTCACCCGATATCTAATAGTTTATAAAAATGTTAAGATTTGCGGTGACAGATACCGGAGGTGATGTCATGGAGTACGACTCACCCCTTTACTATTTCTATTTTATCATTCGGAACCAAATGGAACTAATATAAAAAACCTTCGTTTTGTTTGATTACGAAATTTATATGTCCACCCACAACCTGCCTTTCCACTCACCCTCCTACACACACACAAGATACACATTCATGATGTGAACACACCCCTTAAAACATCCTGGATCCGTCTCTGGATATTGCGATCTTCAGTTACATTATTATATCGAGCGTCATCATCAAAGTCATTTCAATTTTATAAATTAAGGCCTTTTGTATGTGAAACACGTCTCGAATTTTTCTCCGACACGTATTCTGTGTTTTTGTTTCAATCTCAACACGGAAGTCGTTCTTTTCGGTATATCCCCAGTCACGTGGCGCCATCACATTGTCCCTTGTAGTGCAATATACACAGTCAACAAGCCACACACAGCCATTTTGATCCTCCACGTGTCCACTCCTATTACACTGTATGCACTATCGATCTCATCTTTGTCTATCTCCTTGGGTAAATGTGCGTCCAACTCCACCTTGCCTGGCTTGCCTGCGACAACAGAAACCACACGTATCAGGGAAAGTATTTTTAATGAAAGTCTTTGTTCAAGAAGTTTTTCGAAATAAATAACTTTACACTCAGGTAATCTAAGCATAATGTTTACAAGAAGTTCTGAAGCAACAAATCGTTCACAAGATGTCCTGAAACATGGTATGGGTGTGGTACTGAGTGTGGTGAAAAGGGGTGGCACATCTGGGATTCGAACCCATAATAATCGATCCTGAGGGAGCAACTCCACCGAATTGCATGGTCTACAGTGCCTCTGGTTATATAAATAAAGGTAACATAAATACACAGATAACTTTAACCTAGATGCGAAACGGTAGCTGCTCGGCATTTACTATCGGACAGGTACTGTACTCTCACGAAGAAGGTATTCGTTCATATGTATTCGTGGCAAGTAGTTGAAGTGGACAGTACAATCGGAGGAGTACAGAGTACAGTTTTCACCAATTGCAAGATAATGGTACGGGACTAGAAATGTAAGGAAACGTTGTATTGAAAGAATAGATGTAGTATCCATGTCAACCCTTCATCTTTCTACATACCCATTGGACCGCCATTACAGCCGCTGTGGCCACAGATGCACCACACCTCAAGGTAATAGGGATAACACCCTACTTTAGGCAGGGGGTCGGGTAGGAAGGGCTGGTTGTCCGTACATCCCCTGTATATCACTGCAAACATACAGACAAATAGCCTTGAGTGAACATCGTTAAGAACGTCAGTAGCTGGAAATAAGGCGAGCATCCTGATCGGTTATATATACTCACCGCCAAAAGAAATGCAAACCATAGAAACATGTCGAGAGCTATGTTCTTTATTTGTGTGTTGTTTAACGCCGCACTCGGCAATATTCCAGCTGCATGACGGGGGTCTGTAAATAATCGAGTCTGGACCAGACAATCCAGTGATTAATATCATAAGCATCGATCCACGCAACTGGGGTACGATGGCATGCATCAACCAAGTCAGCTAGCCTGACCACCCGATCCCGTATGGCACCTCCTAAGACAAGCATAGTCGCCATTTACGGCAAGCATGGGTTGCCGAAGACCTATTCTACCCCCGGCTCTTCACGGGAAAGAGAACATTGTACATTAACTTGAGATGTTTTCACTGTGTACAAATTAATGACAAAACTAACAATCAGTCAAGTGTCTTTATTCTTATCACGATATACTGCATGTTATTTCCAAAGTTTACACTCTAATCCTGCACGAGACAAATGGTGCATCTCGAATCAAGGATCTATGACGTCACACGTGATGCGTGCATGAGCGTCGGTTCACACAACATGACAGTATGTTCGTTTTTGCATCGAATCAATCAATATATCTCTAAAATGAGTAGTTCTTCATATATAAGCTAACATGTATGGTAGCCGCGTTTCTTTTGTCGGTGAGTATAAGTAAACCAGGTGTTCTGTTTATATCAAAGTGTGGATATCTCAAGAAGTATGTCTGGTATCATATCGTGTTTACATAGAATATCTGGATGAGCTAGTGGATGTGTTTGGTTTAATGTAGCTTCATACAATATTTCAGTCACATAATGGCATGACAATTTCATTGGAGGAAGGTCCTCGGCGATACAGCTCTTAGACATTCGCCACTTCTGCGAAACCCACAAGAGCGGGTATACTGTTGACAATCCTATAAACCATGTAAGGCAAAGTATGATTCAAAACCCTCTAAATATGTAACGTACACATATATCTACATTCGCATATGCCTATTTGAACACTTATACGTTTACATAATGATCATATAAATATATTAACAG